AACAACCATGCCATGCTCAAAATTGCTTAAATCACCTTTCTTTCCCATTCTGACATTCAGTTTGGAGTTCAGGAGATTGTCTTGACCAGGACCACACCCCTAAATGCATTGAAGTAACTGCCATGTGTAGGGATGGGACGATTACCGGTTTCACGATAAACCACGATAAATTGTCCTGGCGGTTAGTATTATCGTTTAAAATTTAATTATCATAAAAACCGTGTTTGATTATCGTGATTTTGAAAACTCGCGGTAAATCCTGTCCAGCCAGAATCAGTCTGACGCAAGCGCGAGCAGGCGCGCAGATGTTGTTTTTTTGCGCGAGAAGACATGGCGGAAGGCAGTGACAGCGCACGGGAGATTTTTCAGCCATCCAAGAGGACAAAATCGGAGGTATGGTCGTATTTTGGCTATTACAAGAGTCCCGAGGGCAATTTAATCGAGGAAGTGCACCCTGTCTGCAAATCTTGCAAGAGGAAAGTCGCTGCAAAAGGGGGAAACACGTCAAATCTGCTAAGTCATCTAACGTTACGTGACAACCACCCACTGAGTTAATTTTTACCTTAATACCACAACTAACTTGGGCAAATAATTAGACAAAAAATGTATTGGAGATGAATTATTTCATTATCTCACTTGTAATTATTGCAAAGCTTCCGCGAAGAGAAAAGTTTTACAGCAAGTGGATTTGAGCCAAGACGAACGAACATATTCAAACTATTAAGGGTGACATTTAAGGGATAATGTATTGTATTCATTCATAGTAAACTTATTACAGTTTTATTTTTTACCACAGAAATAATTTAAGGGACATGAAATATTGAATTGTGATTAACTTAATGTTTTTAAATCTTACCGGTTTATAAATCCATTGTTACAGTGTCCAAATCAATCGTAAAGTAAATGTGATCACTACAACAATATTGTAGTAGTATTAATACTAAATTACTCTGATTTAATTTTCAATACAATCAAAACTGAGACGCAAGACATACACATTTGAATGAAACCAGAGATTGCGTCCGCGGTGATCCGAGACATGGATGTGCGCTGTGTAGTGCGTTGCTATTTACAACAGTCATTATAAGTATGCCAGTAGTTTAGTCACCCTGACCCAACCAACATCTTTTGTTCATTTAAAGTGTGTGTGCGTGCGTGCGTGTGTGTGTGTGTGAGAGAGAGAGAAAGTGATTTATTATTTATTAATAATAATAATATTCAGTCACACACATCCATAAGTGTTATTATCATTATTAATGATAGGGTTTAATGACGGGTTCATTAAAACCTGCACTAGGAAAACTTATACCTCTCACTCTCAGGGCTCCATGTTAATGTTAATATAATGTTGATGCTTAAAAAAGTGCATATTACTGCTAATTGTATTTTTTGTTTGTTGATTTTCAAATGTTTTCAGGGTGAGCATCAGTTCTTTTTGAACATTTCCATCTCATTTTAACAAAACCGTGATAATATTGATAATCGTGATAACTTTGGTCACTATAATCGTGATATGAAATTTTCATACCGTCCCATCCCTAGCCATGTGATTGGTTGATTAGATAATTGCATTAATGAGAAATTGAACAGGTGTTCCTAATAATCCTTTAGGTGAGTGTATATGCGGATGATTAGGAGGCCATGATGGACAGAGGCCACTGGGTAAATTTGGCTAGGTACACCCCTACTTTTTCGAAAGACATTCTGGGATTTTTTTTGTGACCACAGAGAGTCAGGGCCTCGGTTTAACGTCTCATCTGAAGGACGGTGCTCTTTGACAGTATAGTGTCCCCATCACTTTACTGGGGCATTAGGACCCACACAGACCACAGGGTGAGCGCCCCCCTGCTGGCATCACTAACACCTCTTCCAGCAGCAACCTGGTTTTCCCCAGGAGGTCTCCCAGCCAGGTACTAACCAGGCTCAGCCCTGCTTAGCTTCAGTGGGCAACCAGTCTTGGGCTACAGGGTGATATGTATGGAAGTAAAATAATGTCAAATGTTTTTGAAATAAAAAGCCTGTTGAATTGCACTACTTGAAAAAAAATGGGCATTGCATTAACCATGCTTGCATTTTTATGCATTGTATTTTTAGGGCTTGCATTTTTATGGGCTGAAATTTAGCATGGTTGAATATTTAAGCTGTGAATATTTCAATTAAAAACATTTCAAACACATTTTCATTATTAAAAATTCAATAATCCATATTCACCATTCATATTTCATTTCCAAAATATTCAAACTCTTTAAAAATACAACCAATAATATTCAACAGGCAATTTTCGGTCCATTTTATTTCCCTTTTCAAATTCGCTTCCACAAATTCAGTGGTTCAAATTCGACAGTAAATTTAACATTGACGTCCAGGAGCTGCAGGAAAAGCAGTAGATTGCCGAGCATACTCTCCATCTGCTGTTAGTCGACCTCACCATCAGATGGTGCAAAAGCGCTTGTTGTTGACGAAGACATTCATTCATAAAATGGAAATGATTATCTGTGACAGTATATGCGGAAAAGATGGAAAACACACAAAAGCTGTGTTTGTTTCATTCAATAACTTCATTGTTACTTTCCCTGTGTATTCTACATGTCATCAGCTTTCTCTACCATGAACAGGATTATCATCGGTTTCCCTCAATACCTCATACTCAAGGATTCCCTTTACGTTGGGACAAAACGCTTAACACATACAGTGATATGAAAGACCAATCTTGCACCTTATTGGGGATGTAGGCTGTAGGCTACTATATAGGCAACAGGCAAGAAGATGGACTCAGATAATAAACTTTACGCGCAAAGTTTCATGCTGAGCGTTTCGTGATATACTGGCATAAAATCAACACTTGATCAATTAATACTAACACTTTCTATTCTATTCTATTCTCTCTCTCTCTCTCTCTCTCTCTCTATATATATATATATATATATATATATATATATATATATATATATGTAGTCCTAAAATGCCTACGTGTATTGCATTAGCTTAAACTGGGATCATAGCACTTGCATATTGTTGTCCGCCTATTGTTAGTTTAACCTTCTATTGTTAGTTTAACTGTAAATCGCTTTGGATAAAAGCGTCTGCTAAATGACTAAATGTAAAATTGGCTTGACATTGGACATTCGCACATTTAGGGACTGTCTCTAAAGTTGCATACAACATTGGCATGTACGTTTCTAACTTCAATAGCAAACTTAAATTTATTTGAATAAATATCAAAAATCCAAAGGGTGGGCATTATGCCTGACACTACATGAACACTTACAGTTGGTTTTATGACTGTAAGTCGTTCTATTCAAATGCTATTGAAGTTAGAAACGTATATACCAAAGTCGTATACACTTTAGAGACGGTCCCTAAATGTGCGAATGTCCAACATCAAGCCAGTCTATCACTGGGAAACGCTTAGTTGTGCGCGTTATTCTGAGTCCTTCTGCTTGCCTGTGGGTTTGGACTTTTACATCACTAGTCCATTAAGCTACGTTAAGCGTATATGTCCAGCAGGGGAATCCTGAAGTATTGAGGGAAACCCTAATAGCCTGCATGCAGCACATCGCCACAATATAAAGTTAAGGCAACTAAACAACCAAGAGAAATATATGTAAACCTCAAAAATGTAACATTGGATCTGTATATCTGCATCGGGGAATAAAATTATGATCTCGTTCACGGTAGAGAAATATGCATGTAGGCTACACAGGAAAAGTAACCGTGAAGGCACCGAATTTAACAAAAACAGCCGTCATAATAATCACAAATAAACTTACATTGCTGTAAATGAGTTTTATGAATGAATGACTTGCTCTAATTTTGCTGGTCTTCGTCAACAACACGTTCTTTTGCACCCCCTGCTGGTGAGCTCGACTAACAGCAGATGGAGAGTATGCTCGGCAATCTTCTGCTTTTCCTGCAGCTCCTGGACGTCAATGTTGAATTTACTGTCGAATTTGAACCACTGAATTTGTGGAAGCGAATTTGCAAAGCGAAATAAAATCGCCCGAAAATTGCCTGTTGAATATTATTGGTTGTATTTTTAAACAGTTTGAATATTTTGGAAATGAAATATGAATGGTGAATATGGATTATTGAATTTTTAATAATGAAAATGTGTTTGAAATGTTTTTAATTGAAATATTCACAGCTTAAATATTCAACCATGTTGAATTTCAGCCCATAAAAATGCAAGCCCTAAAAATACAATGCATAAAAATGCAAGCATGGTTAATGCAATGCCTATTTTTTTTCAAGTAGTGCAATTCAACAGGCTTTTTATTTCAAAAACATTTGACATTATTTTACTTCCATAGATATGGCTACTTGTTCTCCCCACTGTATATTGCATTTTAAAATTGTGAAATATTATTACAATTTCAAGACATGTGATAATGACATGTGGACAAAAATATTGTGGCCACGAATTAAGAATTTCATTCACTTGCTTTAGTAAATCATGGCCACATTGTTCTAATTCGTTAGATTTTTTGTTTCCTCATTTTATTAATTAATTTTACTAATTCATGGCCATGTTGTAATAATTTGTTGCCTTGTTTTAGTTGAATCAATAAAAGAGAACAAATTATTACAACATGGCCATGAATTGGTAAAATGAGGAAACAAATTATTATATTGTGTGCTTTGCTTTGTGCATAATTTACTTAAAAAGAGGGAACGAATTAGTAAATCGTGCTGACATATTATTAAGTTGTGGCTATGGGAACTAATTCTTAATTCGGGCCACAATACAGACCCTGTCCCAAATGGCACCCTAAGCACTCACGGTCTTCCTATGAGTCCACACTTTCGGGACGTAACGCCGCTTTGACTGTCGGGTAGAAGTATTTTTAATCAAATAAATGCAGCCTTGGTGAGCATAAGATATTTAAAAAAAAAAACATTAAAAGTCTTACCAACCCCAATCTTTTGAACAGTAGTGTAACTGATCACACTTTGTGTTGTCAACTTAACATGAGTTCAGTTCATTTGTCATTTACTGTCAGGTTGAGCCATGAGGCACCTGGTCTTCCTCCTCCCAGCCCTGCTGCTCCTGTTGGCCCTGCCGGACACTAGGGGGCGCTACAATGATGACTTCGATGACGGTGAGGACATCGCTGAGTTTGATGACAATGACTTTGCTGAGTTTGAGGATGTCGGTGAGGACCCAGCAGTCGATGTGGAGAAAGAGCCACCCCCACGGGCAGCCCCCTCATCCACACCCATAGAGGACGACGAAGACGAGGCCACGGTGGAGAACGAAGACGGCCAGGATGAGTTTGAAGATGGCGATGCACAGGTAAAGATGTGAAAAGCCAATCTTATCTCCTTTCTTCTGCAAGTCCAAGTGAATGATTGATTTAATCTAATCTGATCATTGTTAAAGGAACAAGACATGTACAGCAAATATGACAACGAGGAATTTGAAGGCTACGAGAAGAGCAACCCTTCATTCAAAGACACTCTTATATACAGAGAGGTACAAAAGAAATAAAAAAAATGCATTTGACCTTCACAGGCACTTCTGGTTTCCTCAGCTGACTGTGTGTTTGTATTTTACAGGTCCCAGCACACCTGCAGAACAGCTGGGAGAGTTACTACATGGAGATCTTGATGGTCACCGGTCTTCTTGCCTATATTATGAACTACATAATTGGCAAAAACAAGAACAGCAGGCTCGCTCAGGCCTGGTTCAATTCCCACAGAGAACTTCTCGAGAGCAACTTTGCCCTCGTGGGTAAGTGTAACTCTTGCTCCACTTTGTTTCTTCTTCTTATGGTGTTTTCTCTGACCCTGTTTTTCTCTGACTCTCAAATGTGTCTTTATTTTTAGGGGATGATGGTACCAGTAAGGAGGCCACCAGTACGGGGAAGCTGAACCAGGAGAATGAGCACATTTATAACCTGTGGTGCTCAGGACGTGTTTGCTGTGAGGGGATGCTGATTCAGCTTAAGGTAGCATGTGTGTTTGAATATGAGAGAGAAAAACACACTGTTTGATATGTGTATTCAATATTGTGTCATTGTTTTGTTGTTGTTCTGCAGTTTCTGAAAAGACAAGACCTGCTGAATGTGCTGGCCAGGATGATGAGACCAGTCTGTGATCAAGTGGTAGGCACACACAAATTCTGATGTATTGACATAGACTGATTACAAGTAGCATCTCAAATGGATGTTCAAAATGCTGTTCCTCTTATTCTCACTCTTCATTTTACACAGCAAGTTAAAGTGACTCTGAATGATGATGACATGGACACTTTTGTGTTTGCCGTGGGGAGTCGGAAGGCCATGGCACGGCTGCAGAAAGAGATGCAGGACCTGGTTAGTCCTAAAGGATTTACATATTTTATACAGAATATAATATTATGTACACTACTGTTCAAATGTTTGGGGTCAGAAATGAATAATTGGTACTTTTACTCTGTAAGGATGCATTAAATGGATCAGAAGTGACAGTAAAAACTTTTACAATGTTCCAAATACATGCTTTTCTTTTGAACGTTCCATTCATCAAAGAATCTTGAAAAAAAATGTATCACGGTAAAACTTATCATGATAACTGTTTGGTAATAATAAGAAATGTTTCTTGAGCAGCAAATCATCATATTAGAATGATTTCTGAAGGATCATGTGACACTGAAGACTGGAGTAATGATGCTGAAAATTCAGCTTTGTCATCACAGGAATAAATTACATTTTAAAATGCATTAAAATGGAAAAATTAAACTATTAATATGTAATAATACTTTAAAAGTACTTTAAAAATTAAATTTTCTTTTAAAAAAACTGCAAATGTGTCTAGCCACAAACTGTTATATGTACAACCAGTCAGTATTAATACTAATTTGATTTTTCTTAAACCATAAGTGCACATATCAATTCTTGCAGAAAGTGACTGAAAGTAATGGCTTGTGGTTGGTGAGTGAGCCAGTGATGTTGATTCACTAATCACACTGATGGATTCAGTTGTCTGATTCAAACCAATAACTTGTGTGTGCGTGTGAGAGATTCATTACATATACAATTTGTTTGTTCGCAAATCGAACTACAGTAGTGCAGCCAGAGAAGCAATAGAAAGATGTGTTATCACAAGTTTATTTTGTAGTTTTAATGTTGCCAGGAACTGGTCTGTGCTAACTTTATTTTTTCTTGTTTTTTTTACAGAGTGAGTTCTGTGGTGATAAGCCCAAATCAGGGGCAAAATATGGCCTTCCTGAATCTCTGTCCATTTTATCAGAGATGGGAGAGGTTACGGATGGAGTGATGGACAACAAGGTGAGATGAACATCAGAGGTTCCCAGTCATGAGACAAACTTGATTCAAATAAAACCACAACATAAAATCACTGTTGTAATTGTTAACTAAATCTATAAAAATAATAATAAAAAAAACACTTTTTAAAAAATAAATATTTAAAAATTAGATGGAAACACTTAAATGAAACCTAGAAATGTTAATTTGCCCTTTAACTGAAAACAAAGTTTAAGTTGATGTACTAAAATGACTAAAAACTTAAATAAAATGTGTTAAAGCTAAATAGAAATATATAAAAAACTAATAAAAATCAAATCAAAAACACTACAAATTACTGAAACTAAAATTAAAATGAAAACGGAGCTAATATAACATAATTAAAACTATAATAGTATTTAAACATTACTAAAAAACACTTTGAAATGTATATGTATCCTTCTTCACTTCTCAATGTCATTATTGTTTTGTTTTCAGATGGTACATTACCTCACCGGTCATGCTGACAAGATTGAGTCCATCCATTTTTCGGACCAATTCTCTGGTCCAAAAGTTATGCAAGAGTAAGGCTAAGACTTTTTCTTATTCTTCTAGTAGATGTTATTACATTATTCCACTATGTTCCACTATATTCCAGCTCTGGTTAATAAACGTTAATGCTAATGGTTTCTAAATTATTTTTAGGGAAGGTCAGCCCTTAAAGCTGCCCGAGACCAAGAAAACACTACTGTTTACATTTAACGGTGAGTTATATTAATAATCCACAAATGGCAATTTTCTGTTCTTGCATGGATGTTTGTCCGTCTATTAATGTGCTGTGCTGTGTTTTACAGTGCCTGGGATGGGTAACACATCTCCCAAAGATATGGACAGTCTGCTGCCTCTGATGAACTTGGTGATCTACAGCATCGACAAGGTCAAGAAGCTCCGCCTCAACAGAGAGGTGAGTGCACACGCACAATGTGCATAACAACATGTTGAATTAGTCAGGGGTTAATTTGAAGCTTTATCTGGGTGTTTAGGGGAAGCAGAAAGCAGACAGGAACCGTGCTCGCGTGGAGGAGAACTTCCTGAAGCAAACTCACAATCAACGACAGGAGGCCGCTCAGACGCGCCGCGAAGAGAAGAAGAGAGCGGAGAAGGAGAGGATCATGAATGAGGAGGATCCTGAGAGACAGCGCCGCCTGGAGGTGAGTGTGTGTGATTAAAAAGCGGATCTTTTCTCTTATTGTGCCGTTATCTACATCAATACAAAATGTTCTCTCCCCTCTATAATTCAGGAAGCCGCCCAACGTCGTGATCAGAAGAAGCTGGAGAAAAAGCAGATGAAAATGAAGCAAATCAAAGTGAAAGCTATGTGAGACACACACACACACACGCGCGCGTTCATAGTCATTAGAGAAATAATCTACTACTTCCACACCTGCTAATATACACTCTTCTACATGAATGTGCATGCCATTTGATTGGCTGCTATTGCACCCATAGAAACACTCTGTCCAATCAGGAGAAAGCAGCTGGTTGTTAAGGACTATGTCTGTTCTTTAAAAGACAACTGGATTGGAGATGGTCTGTTTGAACATGTTTTAGTGTAGAAGTCATTGAAAGCATTTGTTTTCTACATAACTTGCAATATGATTAAGAATGTTGTTTTTTTGTTGTGATAAACTGGATCTTTTGGGCCTCATTAAACTCCCAACATGCCACTTTAGCCAACCTTTTCCAATTCAGTTGTCTCCTGGAGTTCAGTATGAACCCTTTGTCGAGAGGACCTGTGCATTCATTTCTACTCCCAGAGATCTAACTTCATCTTGTGAATGTTTCAGCTATGCTTCTTTTTATAGTAAAATCAGGGAGTGTTTTTTAAAAGGAACTGGGATAGTAAGAAAGCTACTTTTTTTGTACTACAGTGCTTCCTCACCCCTATTTGTAATGATTGCAAGTGTTTTATAGATGAGTAATTGGCACATTGTCATTGTCTTTCAATCTCTTTCTTTTTTATGCGCGAAGGCCTACTGTGAATTGTCAGTCAAGGCAGCACAAACTCCTTTATATGTATTTAACAGAGATGAAATTTTAATTTATCTTAAGTTAATAGTCAATCAGAGCATCCATGAGCTTATGTTTATGAGTGAACATTGACTGTAACCCTTTTTTTCTGTAACATTTGTTGAGACGCTAAACTAAATAAAACATTCTCTGAAAACATTTTCTTCTCATCGTCTTGGTCCTTTTTTTTTTACTTTTAAATATATGATTCAGATCTAAAATGTGTTTTAAAAAGTGTCAATGGGTAGTTTACCCTGCAGTGTAATAAGTTTCATATAAAGCTATTTTAAACATCATGTTGCTAATTCTTTTATCAGTTTAATCAATTAAAAAGATTTTTGACCACATTTATTAGAAGACCATATACTATTTGTAAATTTAAATTCATCAATTCGTTACTTTTTTCATCTTTTGTCATTTATTTATTTTTTTTGCACTGATGGACCAATTAGAAATGGCACAGTTGTTTAAAAATGCTGGAAAAAAAAGGCTGACTATTTACAGCATCTGAAAATACAAATTGTCACCTTATATACATTTTTTTAACCTAAATTCTAGATGTTGATTAATAAAGTCTGTGGGTGTGCTTCAGTTTTCCGGGTACATACACTACCCCTTAATAGTTTGGGGTCAGTAATACTTTTTGATAGAAATTAATACTTTTATTCAGCAAGGATGTACTAAATTGATCATTGATTTATGATCATTGAAATTGATTTATAATGTTAGAAAAGATTTCTATTTTAAATAAATGCTGTTCTTTTTAACTTTCTAGTCATCAAAGAATCCTGAAAAAATGTATCACTGTTCCTACAATACTAAGCAGAACAACTGTTTTCAAACATTGATAATAATAAGAAATGTTTCTTAAGCCGCAAATCATCATATTAGAATGATTTGTGAAGGATCATGTGACACTGAAGACTGTAGTAATGATGCTGAAAATTCAAATTTACCATCACAGGAATAAAATTGCATCTTAAAACATACTCAAGTAGAAAATCGTTACTTTAAATTGTAATAATATTTCCCAAAATTACCCCAAACCTTTGAATAAAAGTGTAATTCAGATATCTTTGTGTAAACTATCAAGTTTTATGTGTTTACAAGACAATTTTCAAAATCAGGTTATTATTTTTCACATGTAGAGAAGCAAAAATGTGGCTCCTCTAATAATTAACAAACCTTTCATGAGAAGTGTAAGTGCACAGTGTTTAAAACGTTAAAACGCTCTTCTGTTCAAAGTTTTCACTCACTGGATTCATTTTAAAGTTACATTTGATGTAAATCTACACATTTTCTTCTTTGTCTATTACTGTGGATGGAGGGGTGCTAAAGTTACGACTCACAGAATGTGGATCCGATTTTTACAGTTCTCCTTCAACTGCCAATATTGCGACATAATTTTGAACAATGTTTAGCTATCACATTCAGTTTTCCTGTGTTATGGAAGAAGATGAGAGGCGTCACAAACTCCGATATCTGGACCGTTAGCATCAGAGGTAGAGCTTGACATGGCAGATGTAACCAGTCAGCCTTCTTTACTGATACGTAGATCATTACGCAGATGTGAGGCAGAAAGTAAATTGATAATATAATCAAGCTGTTCAAGATGAACCGAATAGCAGTCTGTTTGATTTTGTCAGGTCTAGATGTCTGACTGCCCTTTCCTGATCCAGAGTGATGTAAGGTGATCAGTATAACCAGACAAAAGATCTCACAGAAACTCACAGGGACTGCTGCACAAAAAGAAGCCATAGTCAACGGATGGTACATTGTGATATTAAAAGCGACTGTGACTATTCCTATGGTGACACTGTACATCCAAACAAATGTACAGAATATATGTGCCTGTATTTGCTTTGTGGAAGCTTTTTGGTTCACATAGGCTACAGGATGAGCCACAGCTACATACAAGTCTATGGACATGCCAGCAAAGAACAAGGATCCTCCAATCAAACTGCTGCTGTGGAAGGCTGTAATGTATTCCTGTCCGATTCCAATCACTCCACCTAGGTTCTGGACGATGTTCAGCATAACTCTGACGTAATAGAAGAAATGACAGCAGGCTAGATGAAGAAAGAGGAGTTCGTTTTGGGAAGAGGTAGACGAGTTTCCTGGACATGAAAGTGTTGCACATTATTTCAGAAATAGTTCTGCAACCACATCGAGGGTTAATGGAAGATTGACAAAAAGCATTAGGACATCAAGGATCGTGTTGTACGATCCTTTGCAGAGTTGGTCGTGGGATGAAATGTTGGAGAAATTCCCGTCCACAGTCTGGGAAGATGAAGTGTTTGTTTTCCACATCTCCATTCTTTGCCAGCGTGAGGGAAATAAAGTCTGGTGCTCCTTGATGTGTGTGTAGTTTTTATAGTACAACATCAGCTTGTGATTGATGTTTCTGTCATCTATTATCTGCGATATATTTGCATTAAGAAGGTCAAATGACCATTTGCAAAACCAGCTTATTTCCCACTTTTTTTTTGCCTTGGACTATACACCTGTTTCAAGCGAGATCATTTGATTTAAAGTGACAAACCAACAGCCCTTGCACATGACATGCTTGTTGTAGTTCAGTCGTGGCCATGTTGTGCTAATTTGTTCGCTTGTTTTTATTTTATTCAATCTGACCGTGATTTAAAGTATAGTTCACCCAAAACTGACAATTCTGTCATCATTTACTTACCCTCATGTCGTTCCAAACATGTTCGATTTTGGTTAATCTTCGAAACACAAACTAAGGTCTTTTGAATGAAACCTGAGAGGTTTCTGTCCCTCCACTGAAAGTTCAGGTATTACCATAGAAGATCCAAAAAGACGTTGTAAAACTAATCTGTATAAACTGAGTGGTTTAATTTAAGTCAAGAGGTGCGATTGCTTTAGATTTAATTTAGGATTCATACACTCTCAGATAAAAATGGTACAAAAGCTGTCTCTGGGACAGTACCCTTTAAAAAGGTTCTAATATGTAACATTTAGGTACTATGTAGACTATGTATTGGTACCAATATTTAAGGTACTAATGTACACTCTTTAGGTTTCTGAGAGTGTATAGATTCAATTTAGGATGGCTTTAGGACCTTTTTGGATCTTGAAAGTTTTAGTTTCTTGGACTTTCCATTGAGGGTCAGAAACCTCACAGATTTCATTAAAAAGTATCAATTTGTTTTTCGAAGATTAAAGTTGTAAGTAATAGGTTTGGAATGACACAAGGATGAGTAAATGACAACATTTTCATTTTGGGGTGAACTATCCCTTTAATTAAAACAAGTTTTTGTGCATCGGGCATTCGGGCTCCTTGGCATCAGAGGGTTGCGTGAAAGAAGAGCCACTAAAAACATCAGTGAGGCTGCTGAAAAAGCCTCAAGGTGGTTATGGATCAAAAGAGGAGAAGCATGGAGTAGCGCGCTGCTTGGACACAAACCGGGGACTGATCAACCCCCGGTTGGGTCGCCCAGGTGAGGGTGTCTGAAGATCAAAGACCCGAAACACCCTGTGACCCTGGGTCCTTCACTGAAGATGTGTCCAAGCTGCACCTTTAAGGTGTTTCAAAATCTAGGGAACAAATTAGTACAACCAGGGAACAAAATAAGCTGTAGGAACAAATTCTTAATTCGTGGTCACAATATCTGATGTTAATGTTCTCCCACCCCCATGTCATGTACTCTTCACAAACCTGCTGAAAAGACCAGTATGATAATGTTTATGCTGGTTAGTGCTGGTTTTGGTGTATTAGCATGGTTTTTGGTGAAGCTGGTTGACCATGTAAGCCTTGCTTGTTAAACTAGTCAAAAAGCCAATTAGTCATTTTACTACCATGGTTTTACTACAAATATCATGGTTATAGTAAAACACTTATTAAATCTGGTGTTAGTGTGGTTTTACTAGACTAGAAGAAAAATACACCTGCATACACCAAACTTACTCTCATATTAATGGTCACCCATTGTTTGAAAGATGTTCAGAATGAGCCAGAAAGCACATATTTTGGTTATATTGACCTTCTTCCTCTTGTGCTGTTGGCCTTTGACCTCAGGTCAGGTCAATTCACATGGGGATGTAGAAGAACAAAATACAGCATTGATGGACTTTCTTCTGTCTTGTTCTCATCTGCCTATCCGTTTAGGTTTGTTAAACATAAAATATGCTTTTTTTTTTTTTTAAATTTCATACTTTGACAGACCATGTAGATGATTTTTTTTACTGTATATTGCAGATGCAAATTGTAGGAAAATGATCATGACGCTCTAAATAAGAGGGAAAATTCAGTTTATTGCTGGATTATTTTTAGATCATATGGAAATGTGACTAAACAGGAACAAATAATGGCATATGACATGCAGCCTGTTGAAATACCCATTTCTTATATATAAAATAAGCATCACAACCATATATATGTATATGAAAAAATATGGTTTCATTTGTTTATTTTCTGATGCCTAATAAACAACCAGAATTGTCTTAAAATGTGGCTTGTAAAAGCCTAGGTGATTTATTTTTTCATTTCAAGCAAATACTTTGGTCACAAGAGACTGCAACATTTAGTGTTACTGATATGAACACGTCAACCTCATGTGCAAATGGCTGGTGTCAAATGACCACAAAATGGCCTCACTTTGTCAAAATTGCACGTACAGCATCAGTAACATGTATCATCAAAACTGCAAATGTGTCTAAGGTTTCCTTTACACTGAGATCAGTACACATACATTTGGTTACCAAATTTGTGATCAGAGCAGAGAAACTTCTAACAAAGTTTATAACATTAGCTGAGATTCAAAAGAATGGAAAGACTTTCCACAGACTGCTAAAGTTGAAACAAACACAGGCTCAGTTTAGTGTGTATGAGGCTTTTAGAATGCCAATGATATTTTAAACTGCATTTGTTATTATAAAATTGGCATTTTTTTATTGACACGTGTCTCTAAACTTTGCGAACAGCCTGGTTGGATATTACAGTCGCTTTGGTACATTTCTCAGATCAGAATTGAAATTCTCAAAACTAGCTGTTCAATCTTCACATCATTGTGTCACTTGTGCACACCAAAAAAGCAGTTTCTCATTTCTTTGGGCAAGTTGCAAATGCTTTGGTACATCCATGCAAATGATTATGTACAATTCTCTGCTGTTTCCTACATTATCAATTGCTTATGTCA